AAGAAACATATGCTAAAGCCAAAAGGAGGAAAAGGAAACCAAGCAAGAGTGGAAAATTTTTCCTCGATTACTCAGTCACGGGCCACAGCGGATTTTGGTCCTCCTAAAGATGCTATCTAATTCCTGCACGAATTTTTATCATTTCAAGTTGGCTAAAATGCACCCCTTGAGATTGGCTCGGACGGGTAGCCTCATTAAATTTCAAGATTGCATGTTCGACTCACCTCTCTACCTCTTGTATATTCTTGGGGAACGGAGTGCACGAGCGCAGGGAGATTAATCCAGCAAAAAAAAAAAAAGAGACTAAAATGCAATTTGATGATTTCGTGATAGTTTGGAGTAATTAACATTTACACGTCATATTTATTTATAAAGGTATAATGTACACACATTTACTATTACTTTTGTACATACAAATCCTATTCGTGTAGCTCAATCCTCAACTTTTATACAATCCTAAATCACAGCAAAGCAATCATGAGGCAATGTGCACAAGAATTCGACAAAGGAAGGTGCTCACGTGAAGATGGTCGACCCCATATGCATATAAACTATAAGCAACTAGCAAACACGCATTATATTGTCCTACCACAGACTGCAAAAAAAGGCAATTCCAAGGGGTCCAAGCTTTTTGTGCAGAAAGAAACATGACATTAGCATCTTCCATTCCCTTTGCCCTGCCAGCGCCAGTGGTCTCAGGTCTCATAAAAACAGATCATCATATCTGGAGGGCGGGAAAAAGAAAGAAAGAAAGAAATATGTGTGAAATTTGAGAGAATATATAGATCCCAAGATATCCATCCCAAGCCAGCACTGAAGAAGATGAACAAAAAAAACATCATGCGCTGGACAACCCTAAAGTCCCAAAATGTCACATGTGGGAAGTCCCCATCTATGTCACTCACTCACACACACACTTTCTTGCTCCTTGGAGTTGAGACGAAAAGGGTTAGCCATAATCCAACCCATATCAACAGTGATTGATGTGCCAGTGATTGACGTGCCAACACTCCCTCACGGGCTTGATAGGCGTCTTGTAGTTGTAGATGGATCAGGGAAACATGTCAACATGTAGGAGATTAAAGGGAAAATTGGTGATCATGCCTTTGTCTCTAGGGACTTAAAAAAACAGGAAGCAATTTGGAAATTCATGGCATCATTCTACGGGAAATTAATGCAGAAAAGTTTCAAGATTTTGGCTTCACTTTTCTCTTATACATTAATTTTCCGTTCATGAAATTTTAAATTAGGAAGTTTTAGGATGAATGTTAGTGACAGTCATTACAAGTTAAGCAATCCAGCACCTAATCCATGTCAGTCAAATGGAAATTTTGCATGATTTCGACATCCGCAGTAATTAATATAATTGTTGGTCAAAATGAGGCTTCTCCAATTCCCTTGATTTGGAGGAGTCCAAAATAGTCTAGTCTAATCTTGAAAAGCTTATCAATCGATTAAGAGTAGTCTTCGTGGGCCTGAAAGAAGCACAGAGGAAAGATCCCTCCATGTAGTCTACACTCGAGTTGCCGAGGACTTTCCTTCTAATCACTGTTCATCTGCTTGTCTTGGCTCTAGACGACAACATGTTTTAGTATTTGACGGCCCATTGCAGCCTCATATTGCTCTTGGGCATTCACTACCCTGGACCCAATCTCCATTTGATCTGAGGAATTCTATCCATTACTCTCTAAGCTGCAAGACTTGCCAGCCATTCCTTTCAGCTCACCTCATGTTGTTGCAGCTATACTGCTGTTATTACGTTATAAATATTTTGATGATTTATTCATTGTCTGTTTCACGGCTCACTTGCGATTTTAAGGTCTTGTAATGTATGGCGGTGAAAAATTCCACATTGCTTGATTTTTTTTTATTTTTTATTTTTTTTGAAGTTGAAGGAAAAACAAGAAGGAAGAAAAAAACTCAAGTTTAACGATTTTACTATAATGGACGGTGGTTAGCTCCCATAACATTTCTGAACCCCACTCCCCCTCAGGGAAAAAAATAAATAAATAAACAGAGCACTCCAGAATTTTTTTATTGAACTTTTGAGGCAAGGTCTCAGAAAATTCCAAATGAATTTGAAGGTTTAAATACTTGCAGAACAAAACATTAATTATTATGGCATAAACTGAGCCCAATTAAGTACATAATTGTCTATATTACTATAACCATTCTCTCTCATGATTCGGCTAGACCATTAGTTTCCTGCTATAAAACAATCTGCTTAATTAAAATACTTGAAAGTTGAAACCACCCAGTTACTGATGAATGAAGACGGTCACGTATTATGACAAATTTTGTGGAAGGTAAGGTTCGGATTCTTGATCTCCCGCACCACCAAGCCTGAGAAGGCTCGGGTTGACCACTGGGCGTTATTAGGTACATGAAATCTAAAGTAATTTAATCTATACAGGTTTCACACACCTAACGCAGACAAATAATATTTTAAAGGCCCTTTACTGTACAGCGGTTTTGCATAATATAAAATCTCTCGTATTTTGACCATTACCTTTTATAGCGTGCCGTTGCATTACATTACGTTGTACTCGTAAAGTCAAGACCAAGATTGGCCTCATTTGTCTGCACACGTTAGAACTTAAGGGCTATTAAAGCAGATCTTCTGTGCAATTTTCTTTGACCAAAGACTATATATAAAAGTGCCCAAGCCCTATTATTGTCTCTAAAGTATAAATTATATATGCCAATTGGCTTTGTTTATTATGGAAATTCAAGTGTTTGATGGAAATTCAGGTTAGGTTAGGACAGCAGTGGATGGAATAATGCTAATGATTCAGATCCCATTTGCCGCTGTTGTTTACTTTTCAAGAAGCTTAGACCAAATCTCAACCAAAGCCCTTAATGCGTCAGCAAGAATACGACGCAAAAGGTTAGACAAATCAACAAATGCCAATTCCAAATCTATCTGGGAGTATAAGAAATTACCTAGAGAACTAAATAACTACTCAAATAATTATTGAGTATTAAAGCAAAATGCAGTTGTATTTACTTGGTTAATTTCTTTATGTATGCCTCCAGGACCAAATATAAATTCAAGGTTACCGATGATCGGCATTTAATTTGTTCCTGGCTGCAACTGCTTGCCTATGCCATTGGTGACTTGCACTCAGTAAGAATCCAGAAGTCGCAGGTCTCAATTGTGGATCAATACAAAAATAACCAACTGATCATATATGTATGTATACTTGGGTACGTAGCTGGTTTTTATGTTCTTTGTGCTCCAATTCCAATGCATGCTTGGGTCCAGAATTATTCTTGCAAAACACAATTATATTTGAAGTATGCGTCCCATAAAAACGAATGCATAGTGTGGAAGTATTCGGCATGAAATCATGCAAACAAAATAACAGGTAGAAGATATATAATGGTAGCGTAACAGTGGAGTGTCTGTAGCCGGCCCCAAGCAGCAGGCTGGCCGGCCGCGGCCGGCCTGCCTGCCTGGCTGAGCAGCCCATCTTTTGCCTCGTTAGATCTTCATGCAAACCACCAAACAGATGGCTATGTGCAGTGCACATGCATATGTATAAATACATATTCACCCATCACTCTCAAAGGACTCGAGTCTTTGATCAACTCACTCATTTGGTTAACTCCAAATTTTACTCCGTTTCTATATAAAACTTGAACCAGTCTCAGAACTTTTTCTTCTTTCTTGCTCTCTCTCCCTCTCTCTCACGCGCGCACACACAGAAGAAGAGCTCTTAAAGGCTAAGCAATATATTTTCACAGTATTCGTGCTTGAAATCCCACTTTTGATCCCAAGATGAGGCAGGCTGGGACGTATTCGGGGATACTATCAGGAGGGATATCTGGAAAAACTGGACCTCATTCATTTCCGTTGGCAAGAATAAAGAAAATCATGAAGAAATCAGGAGATGATGTGAAGATGATATCTGGGGAGGCTCCCATTGTTCTCTCCAAGGCTTGTGAGCTTTTTGTTGAGGAAATTACCAGAAGGGCTTGGAGGATGACCATGCAAGGCAAGAGGAGGACACTTCACAAAGAAGATGTTGCTTCCGCTGTTATAGCCACTGATATCTTTGACTTTCTTGTCAATTTGGTTTCTGAACACTCTGCTACTTCTGAGCAGGAGGAGATCACTACTCCACCAGCCATGGATTTGAAGAGATAAACTGAAAAGAGCAGGATACATAACTATATATAACCACTCTTTATTCTTCGTACACTATTTTTGTTTCCCCTTATAATTTTCATATACAGAATATAAACAGTTTCTATGACGATTACTGTCAATTGGAGCCACAAGATTAAGCATCTTATTTCAACATTGTAACCTTGATTAAATGTGTAGTATTTTGACAATTGCTTCTTAATTTCTCAGAACTCAACCGTACGTGTTGCGGCCTGTAACAGGTTCCATCCACAAGGCATGTAATGTTCTTATTTTCTGCATTTGAAAAAACGAGGTATATTTCAAATAGTTGACTTCGTACCATTGAACTCCAACGAAGACATTTAATCTAAACCGGTTTGAAGCTGCACAACCAGGGCCAAGTATTTCAAACAATTTGATGCAACTCTTCTATCTAATTAAGTTAAAGTGCATGCACAGGCGCCTGTATGGCCAGAATCGTGCATTTTAGCCGGAGGAACCCGGCCTTTTGCACACACGGGATCCTTGGTGTCATTTTTCATTGACAACTCAGTGTCATTTCTATATTTATGCAAAGTGTCCAGTTTATTTAATTTATTATGTGTTATTTATTTAAATTTCTTCTCTCATCACGTGATAAATGGAATTGACACTGAATTTGACATCGAGTAATGACATAGAGGATCTCAACGGCCTTTTGCATGCCCTTGGTCACAAAATAATAATAATAATAAGAATAATAGGAGAGTAAGGATAGATGTTTTTGTTAAACTTTTTGTGAAACCTTCAGAGTATACATGTAGGATATCAAATTAAAAACGTTCATTCATAATAAGAACATCAATTACAATCAATGGGTCAACAATTCTCATATCAACGAAATTTCTCGGCCCCCATATTCCCCGTCGTCCCTGACATAGATCCCGTCTCGAGCAACTATAAATAATTGATCATCACCTGCTGCGGATGGGGATGATTCTGCCAGTAGATATAATCTACACCTGCTAATGGATGTTCCATCCTTGAATTCGGGATCCATGCAGAAGGGATTTTTTGCGACGGTGGGATGATGATCGGGCGCTGAAACATCCCAAACCCAAACATGACCTCGGAAACCGATCGCGTAGAATTTGCCATTGTGCTAATTCGCGTCGCTGAATCCACCCCGTCTGGATTCTATTCCTGTCCAAGACTCGTCTCCGGGTCTCCAGTACCCAAGATATTGTCCTCCGCCGTGAACCACCATGACAACGTAGTCTGAGGTCTCGGATGGACTCGCAGATAAAACCGCCCTTTCTATGAAAATCAAAGGATCCATCGGCTGGCAATCTTCATACCTGGGAAAGTGGTGATGTGGGGGAGCTCAATTTGAGCCCTGGAGAAAGGGTGCAGCAAACTCATCTCTCCCGAAACCCCAAGGGCAATGAACCATCCTCTGGATTCCATGCATTTTTTCTCCCTAGCCTCGGGGAGGAACAACCTGCTGCAGTTCCTACCCTTTGCAAGGCTGTAAAATTCTCGATCGGCACCCTCTTTATTTTCTGCAAGCATAATCCAGGGAGGTCCAGGCCATGTTTTATTAAAAGTAGCCTCGCCAGCCGCTGCCCTCCACGAGGTGCAAACGCCGCGGAACGCAAGAAAGCCTTCCATCAGGTTTACTCGTCTGGCGATTGAACCCAACAAGTCGTGCAAAAGGTCCGACCAATTTCTCATGACTAGTCCGACGCTTGCCAAAGAAGAGAAAATTGCACAATTAATTTCTTAAGCAATTCGGGGGGAAAAAAAAAAAAAAGATACAACAAATAGCTAGTAGATTGAGTCACTCAACAGTCTAAGACATATTTCTGTCTGCGGCAAGAATGAACGAAATTTCCAAATCCAAACTAAAATTGGATTTAGGAAGTGAAGTCAATCAGGGAAAATACCTGTAGTTTTTTTTTTAATAAATCAATAATTTGGGAAGTGTGCTATTATGAAGAAAATTTATTATTCCTCAATTCGTTTGATATCCATATGCTTAAATTAAATTGAATTTTGACAACGTACAATTACGACATGTTTGATGACCAATTGAAGTAATAAATGGAACTATTACGTTGAGATCATCTAATCTAATAGTATCAATGCCAAAACTGTCAACTAGTAATTGATTGATAAAAGCTACGCTGTGATCGGAGCATAATTCCAATCAAATTTGGAACTGTACCATTGGAAGTCTCGGGGTATTTTGCAACTGGCTCGTAATTTCAATTCGCAAACTTGCAACTAATCCCAAATTTTATTTAGCGGACAAAACTCCAGTACTAGTCACTAACCTCACTGATTTTCCAAATTAGGCCTTCAATTTTACAACAGTTCTCCAAACACCCCTCTTTTGATCTGCATTATTCTCTCCAAACCCCATCTGTTCATCTAAATCAGTCCTTCTGATAATCAGCTAGCGACATTCATAGAGAACACGCTTGTGAAGGCAGGGCCGGATTGTCTGACCTTATAATTTTTAGATGAACTCGCGGGGGAGGTATCCGCCGGGGATCTGGAACGGCCGCGGCGGAGGCGGAGCTGGAGGTTTTGGGACAGTAAACGCTAACCCTAATTTTCAGAATCGAAACCCCACTTACTATCATCATCAGCAGCAACAACAGCAATTTCAGCAAAATTATGGCCAGAGAAATTTACAGAATCAACAGCACCACCACCATCATTTCCAGCAGCAGCAGCAGCAGCACTGGATGAGACGAAATCCTAGTGGGACTCCATCTGATTCTTCTGTTAATGAAGTTGAAAAAACTGTCCAGCCCGTTAATCCTGATTCTGGGTACCTTACCTTTCTTGCTGTCATTTTAGGAACTTTTTGTGTCCGTTGTTTTGCATTTTCTGAAATAAAGTGCGAGTCTTTTCGCTAATTCCTGTGGTGTTTAGTTTCAGTATTTTTTTTTTTTTTTTTTTTGCTGGCGGACGAAATCTGTAGTTGTGTTATCTTGCTGTCTTGACAGATTTTGCGGCATTTTGAGTTGGGATTTATTTTTAAAATTTGTTGGCACGTATGATCTTATATTAGATGGGGTTGGGTCGTTTTTGGTGTTGGATCGATATATAGGGGCTGTGCAATGTCGAGTGTTAGTGGTAGTTTTTGATAGCACATGTATTTTTATTTTTATGCAAATTCAAAAAAGAAGTGCTTTTTCAGCTAAATATGGGTAGAGCATACTGGTTTTCTTGTTTATAGACGTGAAGCTTTGATTTCCTGCATGCCGTTTCATTTCAAACATGAATACTGGCGTAGGGTTGCAGCGATATTGAGTCTACTTTGTACCATGAATTATCAAGACCTTACTTGGTGAGCTACCAGTATGGGGTTGCCAAAGTAAAAAACTTTCATATTGTTTTCTTTCGAAGTTCATGTGCGTTGCCTTTCGCATAAAGCATTTTCAGGTTTCCAAAAATCATGGCATGGTTGTTCTTGTTGTTGATCCTACTAAAGTACTTTTTTTCATGTATTGTTACTATCCATGCTCGCATCCCTGTACTTGTGGTTGATTGACTTGCTAAATACTAGGATATGTCCATAGTATCTCAAATCTCTTCGTTTTCTGCATAGTAGCTTCCTTTTATAATTAACTTCTTTTGGACTTGTATTCTTCTTGTCCACATAGCTCTCAGGATTGGAAGGCTCGATTGAAGTTACCACCACCTGACACTCGATATAAAACAGAGGTATGTTAGGATGCGTACCCATCCCACGAAAAAGTGGTTTACTTGCACTTGCCATTGATTGTAACTTCTTAACCGGTGTTGAATTTCAGCTAGCAAATGACCTTCATTTCTGTTTTCTACTACAATCATGGTTGCTATTGCCTCTTAAAGTCAATGGGGTTGCATTCTAGTCTTTACTCAAAAAGTATTATTGCAGAAACCTGAATTTTGAAGAAAACAACCACAAGCACTCAATGATAAAGAAAACCAAGAACAAAAAGAAAAATCTTAGTTGCATGACTCACAATTTAGTTGTTGTACAGGATGTTACTGCAACTAAAGGGAACGAGTTTGAGGATTACTTCTTGAAACGTGAATTGCTTATGGGAATATATGAGAAGGGCTTTGAAAGACCTTCTCCCATCCAGGAAGAAAGTATTCCTATTGCTCTTACTGGAAGTGACATTCTTGCTAGAGCCAAAAATGGAACTGGAAAAACTGCTGCATTTTGTATCCCTGCATTAGAGAAAATTGATACGGATTACAATGTGATTCAAGGTACCTCCTCTACACATTTACCTTTTTACTACTTAAAGTCTTCATACGCTCCAAATGCATCTTTCATGGTATTCCCTTTGTATGAGTTTTAGTAGCATTTAGTTCAATAGTGGGCATTTAGCCCAGTGTTTGGATAAAGTATCAAACTGAATCTTCATGGTAATCTCAAATGCAATTTGTTGAAAACATGGACAGCAATCCATATGACATTGAAGTCCATGTTTAGCCTTTTCTGCATACAGTCATAAGGAGGAAACCTTTTTTAACCTCATGTAGTAATTTGTGAGCACATTTTAGTTATGTGCATAACTCTTTTGTTGGACCTATTATCCTTAAGAAAGTGTATAATAAGCATTAAGTTTGATTTATTAGACTATTTGTTTATTTGACCGTAAAATCTGGTATACTGCACTGCTGGTGGTCTAGCTGTCTCACCCGTAGCTTTTCTGGTATTTTTAAAACTGGATGCAGTTGTGATACTCGTCCCAACCAGAGAATTAGCTCTTCAGACATCACAAGTTTGTAAGGAACTAGGGAAGCACTTGAAAATACAGGTCATGGTTTCCACCGGAGGAACCAATTTAAAGGATGATATTATGCGGTTGTATCAACCTGTACATTTGCTGGTCGGGACTCCTGGGAGAATACTTGATCTTACCCAAAAAGGTGTTTGCATTTTGAAAGATTGTGCAATGCTTGTCATGGATGAGGTATATTGATGAGTAATTTCATGCTTGTTTTTTGAAATTTCCTGTTCGCAATACTTTATATATGTAAACAGGTATCTTTGTGTTTGTCTGTGTTTTTGTTTGCACTGCATGTCTTCCTATATCCTAATATAACTTATTGGATACCCAGAAACTTTTTGTGCCGAGGCATTTGACTGCCTCATTGAGTTGTCCAAATGGATTTTGGGCTTTGCTTCTAGAATCCAGCTTTATATGCTTTTTTTATTTTGGTTCTTGAGAGGTTTAGTTTGGGAATTTGTGAAGATTTTTTATTGTTTGATTTTTGCTACTGGAGTGATCTGGTGGAATATGAAATGTGCTTAAATTCACAGGCAGATAAACTCTTATCCCCAGAGTTTCAACCTTCATTGGAGCAGTTGATAGCATTTCTTCCTGTGAATCGACAAATTTTGATGTTTTCAGCAACATTTCCGGTGACTGTCAAAGAATTCAAGGATAGATATCTAAAGAAACCCTATGTCATTAATCTCATGGATGAGCTAACTCTCAAAGGTATTACTCAATATTATGCTTTTGTAGAAGAAAGACAAAAGGTTCACTGCCTCAATACTCTTTTTTCCAAGGTTTGACCGTAACCCACTTGTGTTGCTTCTCCATTTTCTGGTGACAAACTTTACAAGTGCACTCATTTGTTTGCAGCTGCAAATCAACCAATCAATTATCTTTTGCAACTCTGTTAACCGAGTTGAGTTACTAGCCAAAAAAATTACAGAGCTGGGCTACTCTTGCTTCTATATTCATGCTAAGATGCTCCAAGATCATAGGAACAGAGTATTTCATGACTTCCGTAATGGTGCTTGCAGGAATCTTGTATGCACTGGTCAGTAATTGATTTTTTTCACTTCAACTTCCAGCAATTTCTTTATGATGCTGCTACTATTTTGTACTGACTGTAATCCAAGTTGCAATCACTTTTATGCAATTTCACTGCCTAGATCTCTCTGGAGCTTTTGTTACATGTTTGGTAAAAAACTAATTTTCAAGGCAGCTCTGATCTGTTTGCATCACCTGCTTCCTGTAATTCATCTTAATATACTTTCCTGAAGAGCAACCTTTGTCATCAGTTAATATTCTGTCCCCCCACCCAAAAAAAAAAAAAAAAAAAAACCCTTCTCATCCTAATGTGCTGTCTCCATTAACTTCACACGAAGCATTACATTTGACCTTGCACTACTCTAATTTGGAGCTGAAAACTGTAGGATACTCGTCAACAGATCCATGTCTATTTCGGATCACAGATTACTTTTTGAATTTTAATCAATAGTAGGTATGGTTCTAATTTCAATTCTGTGTTATATTGCTCTGGATGAAGATTTTTTTGTGTAATATGCTTTGCAAGGGGAGGTCATTTTGACAATTGTAAAGAGGAAGAGATGGTCTTTTGTCCTTTAGGGATACTTTTATATAGTTGGGGCACAAAAATTGAATCAAAGTTGTGTTTTTATATGCAGACAAATGCTCTTCAATAGAATAAGTTTCAATGTAACTAGCCATACACTTTAATGAGTCTATCTGTATTTACTTCAAATGCGTGCTTGTTTTAAAATTGTTGGTTGCATTTCCACTTTCTGTGGTCAAGCATGGATGAATGATACAACTTTATGTCAAGGGTTCTGATTTTAGCGGAATTTTTTATTTGGACAGATTTGTTTACCCGGGGAATAGACATTCAAGCTGTCAATGTTGTCATAAATTTTGATTTTCCAAAAACTTCAGAAACATATCTGCACAGGGTATGTATGCAGTTAATATTGAAGAGCTGTACCGTACAGTTTTGTACTACTTGATGATATTGGAAATTCTCTGTTTAGGTGGGGCGTTCTGGAAGATTTGGACATCTTGGGTTGGCCGTGAATTTGATCACCTATGAAGATCGTTTCAACCTGTATGTACTTTTTCTGCCTTTGTGATTTATTTATTCCTTTTATGTGTTGTTTTTCATGATTTCTAAAATTGTTAATGACTCCGTATCTCTCTCATTTAGGTATAGGATTGAGCAAGAGCTTGGAACTGAGATAAAACAAATTCCACCTCTCATAGACCAAGCAATTTACTGCCGATGACATGCAATGAAACCTGAATATGGTGAGTGAGAGAAAAGATTAAAGCAATTATTGCAGTGATTAGATACGATATGGAAGAAAGGGAATGCTCAGGCTCAGCTTGGGCCCCATTTTGCTTGTTCTGTATAATTGTTGTTGGACAAGTTTAACTGCCCCATAAGAGTTTGTGCTGTTTAGGCAGTAACCATGCTTGGAATTCTTCTCATGGTGAGTTCGTACAATTTAGAATTTTGACTCCCCAAGTGATGGTAAAAAGTGGCTAGCTATCCCTTGTTTCCAGGCAGAATTTGAAGTCTTGCCTGGATCTTGATATTATTAAATCAGATGCTGTAATTTTTAACTCAGAGCACAACGTATAGAGCAAGATGGGATCTCTCCTTTTTTTCGTTTTGCCTGTTGTTTATTCTGCTGGTATCCGATTGGTTCATAACTTTATTTGAACGCCTCCTGTATTGAGTTCATTTGCCTAAAATTTCCCCTCTCTGTTTTTGCTTGAAATGAAACATAATACCCCTAGAACTGAGTGGTATTTCTAACGATTTCTCTATGCACGGGGAATTCTGGGATACGAAGGAAAGTTTGTAATTGTGTAGCTGTTCAAGAAATTTCATCTCCTTCCTAGCTGTCTTTTTTCCTTCCTTTCACTTTAGTAGAAATTGCAAGTTTGTTTGTCAATTTTTTGTTTTGGGGTTAAGGTTATTCTCCAACCTGACATTTGTAAGTACTATCTACTAAACTTAAAACAGAACAGAACTGATTTAGGACTTACAACTTCGTTCAGCCTCTGCTTGTTCTTGTGGAAGCATTCAAGTACTGATGATTATCTTTAAATTGCCATTGTATGGTACGTGAAAACCAAACCAAAAGGTCGTTTCTGATTCTTGAGAGAATAACCCATTCATCCATGATTCACCAATTCCAACTATTGCCCACGGGATTCACCAATTCCAGCTATTGCCCATGGGATTATTAATTCCTGATAAAGTCCTACAAACTTAACCATTATTTTTTTTGTAAGGTGCAATTGAAAAATTCACAAAATTTTTGAAGCCTCATTCGCCAGTGCGAGAAAAAGGAAGTAATACAGAAGAGCAGGCAGCATTATAGGCTTGGTTTGCTGGAATCAGACCAAATTGATTTTCAGAACTTGATTGGAGCAATCCAAGAAAAATACAGATGTCACACACATACAGCCCTCAAGTTGAGCACACAAACAAGTGAATGAAGGAAAAAGCGAAAGTGAATTATTTACCATTAAACAACAGAATACACAAAAAAAAAAAAAAAGTATAATTACAGAAGGTGCAAACCAATATTTGTACTTCCTTCTTTCAATCCTTGTCATGTTACCTGTAATGGGAGGAAAAGTTTTAGGAACCGAAGCATGCGAATAACTTCTTTGGGACGTTGCCAGTTGAGCGGAATTTGGCTGCCGTTTCCTCGACCTTGAGAATATCCTCTCCTCGTTTTGCTTCAACCATTGCCCTCTTTTCCTCAGATTTCCTGTGAATTTCGGCCATTTTATTTTTCATCCTTTCTGCAGCTTTGGCCTTCTTCTTCTCAAATTCTTCCTGCTCATTCATGCACGACGAACGGTTACCCATGTCTAAACAAGAGCTACCTTGCTCAAGAAAACTTTTACAGTTGATATAACATGAATTACGAATCATATGTCTAAACAAGAGCTACCACATTCCAAGGCCCTCGTCATTGCTTTGCTTAAACAATATGAAAGAAGAAACATGTATCATGGGTTGCTCAGGCTTAGCTTCTCTGAAAGATATTAAAAAGGTACTCCAAATTTTGATATTATGCACTGTTCATATTCTCTCGTAAAGGTATTTTTTTTCACTGAAATTAAGCTAAGATATTTAGAGTGCCCAAAATAGTTTAGCTGAAAAAGTAGGAATCAGCTTAATTTGAACAAATTACTAGAGTTAAGGCAGCTAAGTGACTCCCTCCTAAGAAAATTAACAGCAGGAAAGCCTTTACCTCAATCAGCTTTAGTTCCACCTCTACTGATGCTTTTTTTGTGTTCTCCCATGCACCAATGGAAGACAACTTTTTATAAGCCCTGAAGAATTATAATACTGAGGTAAATACGACTAAATACCAAACCATCAAAGAGGAAAACATCAAGTAAAAAAGAACTTTATATTGATTGAGGCAGAAGGCAAACAAATTTAGACATAAGAGTCTCAATTTCGATTCATTGATGCGCACAAAATTATGAATTGGCTAGAAAGTGAATTAGGATGCAACTGCGGTCATGCCAGGTTCATTTTTGTTCAGGACGAAAAGTCCAAATCATCAGCCCAAATGTGGAACCAACTATGATTCAAGAGTAACCCGTACTAATCTGTGTCTGTGTCTTTTTTTTGTTTTTTAACCTGGGGACAACTTCAAAGTTGGAAATTCATTCGCTATGTATTGGTAAAAAGAGAACAGATTGTAGGAAAAGAAATGTATGGGAAACTTTATTTAAAATTGCTGCTTTTGTATCTCTTGTGCTTTCAATTCCTTATATCTATTGCCTAAATTCTTAGCAGTTGCACAATACAGCATAGTTTTCATCACTTAATTACCTGGTAACAATTACACAGAAAAAATAGCAACAAGTAAAAACAACGAGATGAAGAGAAAACTGAAAAGTGAGGAAGGCCAAAGGAAACATACTTGTTATCTGCTTTAGCTTTTTCACTTTCTTCCCAGGCTTTTATCAAAGCCAATCTTTTCTCCAATTCTACTCGTGCCAGAGCAGCATCTAGTTGTTGATAACAAGTATTCACAAAAAAATAATAATAAATAAATAAAAAAGCCTAGCAAAATCAAGAACCAAGAACAACTAAAACTGGAAAGGGGGGGGGGGGGGGGATTGTCACCCCGCAGTTTACCTCTGTCCTTGGGATCCACCTTGTTCTTTTCATCTTCACGGTGTTCTGCACGCTCTGTCATAATCAACTCAAGGAATATAAAATTCGGGAATATCCCAAGTAATCAAAATAACAAATAAGCTATAAATACATAGAGAGGGAGGGAATACTTTCTGCAATAAAAACCGGTTTCTCGATTGGAACAAGGGCCTTCTCAGATGAGTCATGCTTTGGGGGTTTTTCTTCAGGGGAGGATTCTTTAGAAGCTGCTGAGGCCGGGGCCAAAGCCTGAGGGGAGGATTCTTTAGAAGCTGCTGGGGACAAAGCCAGAGGAGCTGATGTCTCCTGTTCTGGCTCAACATGCTCAGCTTGTTTTTCTCCCATGTTTCAATCCTTGTTGCACTAGTTAGTAGCAAAACAAGTACTAGAATTCTAAGTTTCAGAGGGTATTATAGTGGCAAAGATTTCTTCAGAAAAACTCAGACTAAAGTGAAAGAAAGAGATGAGGCAGAAAGGTGGTAGGTAAATATAGTTAGAAGACGACGAAAAAGGTTGATTCATATCCTAAGACAGCTTGATTAGTTTAGGATGCTAGTCATTAAAGTTTGTGATTTCTTTCCAATTCTCTGGTTTGTGCCAAATGCTACCGATTCTTTTCTAGTATTTTCTAAGCGAGTGCTAGTATTAGTTTAAGTATAGTTTCTTGCTGTGACCACCCCAGAAAGCAAATGAAATCGGGTGTCTTGGATTTGGGAAGGTAATCCTTTGTGTGATTTCCACTTTTTCCAAAGATGCAGCGGAATTCCTACTTTTTCATTCTGTTTCTTGTTCCTATCATCTCTTCTTTTTTTTTTTTTTTTCTTTTTTGGTATATAACGTACCTTTGCAACTATTTACAATGTTCTTGCACGTTAAACTTGGCGAATACTGGGGAGTTTTCTTCAGGTAGGTAGACTTTTGTGGGTCCAGGCGTTTTAATTAACAGCTTAAATCAATTAAACATTTTGTTAAGTATCATAACCGTAGCTGAGTATCATGCTAATATTAACTTTGATAAAGATTGCTTCTTTTTCGTAGACTCTGAGAAATAGATTGTCAGTTACATTTTGGGTCAAGCATGCATGGAAATAAAAAAGGGCAGGGAAGATGAGGATTTTTTTTCTTTTTTTTTTTGGTCTGTGGATGGGGATTTTTTTTTTTTTTTTTTTTGGAGATAAATTCTTAAAAATTGATGTCTTTCAAAGAAATGATGAATACGAAAACTGCCCCAGCAATTTTTTTGCTTGTACAGTAATGAGATGTGAAGCTAAAAGAAGCATCTTTGCAAAGGAGGAGATCATTCTTAAGTTATTTGGAATAACACTATACTAATTTTTTGTGATATAATGTATATAAAATAAAAGGGTGATTGAAAATATAAAATATTAATTCAAAAATATTTTTATTGCAAATGATAAGCACGATACATATACATACATGTGTCAATAGATAAAGGCATACTATCATTTTGATTTATTATTGTCTATATATGATACCATCCTGCAATGACTTCATTCTGAATCTATTGCTCCGAACTGTTTCTTAATTAAATTCGTAAGTTTTACGTAATCCCACATTATTAACTATGATTGAGATGAGAAGACTTTTACAATTATGAAGATGATTGCGGATTCTGGTTGAACCCAAAATATGAATTCATTTTCTCTTTGGTCCTGTAGTACTACTGTTCATGCATGCCAGCAATGATACGTTCCTTGTTCTTTTTCCTACCACTTCTTCTTTTCTTTTCTTTTCTTTTTTTTCCAAAAATCTTTTCCTGTTTTCCTATTCCTTTCTTTTTGGAGTGACCAGTTGTTCTCAAGGACCAGGATGCTTGCAAGTCCTGTTACTTATAAGACCCTCATCCAGTTAGTTCTAGAACAGTTAGAGCAAAAACATGCAAGAATGTTTAACTCGAAAATTTACAACTTTCCAAGATTTTCAGCAAGCGAAACCGCCCCCTCCTTGGAAATGAATGCGTTGCTATAGTGGCTACAAAAAAAAAACATATACTTAATTACCTTATGTGACTCATTTTAATTCAATGAGAAAATATGTTATCTCTAACTTTACTAGACTTGCACAAACAACTGAGAATTATAGGTAAATAGTAATGCACACGAATCAATTTCTTAGTGCAAGATGAACGTTTAATTCAGATACATATTTATTCTTTGACAAATAACAGTGATCTGGTAATTCGCTTATTCGTTATCTCTCTGGGCTGGTGGCCACCACTAAGCCATTTAAGACTTGGTGGGAAACCCTGCTTCCCACCAATTGCCACATTAAATGGTTTTTTAAAAAATCCAGAAATCGCGCATCCGTCTGGTCCGCTGGTGATTCAGTCCCCGTCGATTCCTCTAGACCCAGTTGGATCTCCCCCTTAGATTAGGATATTGTAGTCTATTATAGATAAATTGACGATAAACAAAAAAAAAAATTATCTCTCTTAAACAAGAAACTTGCTGTTTCATTGGAAAATTGGAGCTGGAAAACACTTTTAAGCCTAGTTATAAGTTGCCGTGGATAATTATTCAGCCACAAGGCCCACAACACCACTAAGTTCTTCGCAACGTGGAAGCTTGCAACTCTTCATGCATGGATTCATTCTTAAAAAAAATACAGAATATTTTCCTTGTATATATAGAAATACCAATTTGCGACAAATGAAACTAAAATGAAGAAAAAAATCTCAGCAATCAATCCAAGAGTTCGTTGGCTGTAAACTTGTAAGGATTATATGGCAGGTAAGTAGGTAAGTGGTTCTATTCCAAATCCCAACTATGAAATCCTGTTTGGAGGAATGAAGGCGTGCAAAAAGAAGCACATGGTTGCACGTGAAGATTTCCCCATAAACCACCGCTTTTTATCCAAGCCATGTTACTCTTGGATGGTTTGCTCTTAATCTTGAGGCTTTTTATATTTGACCATACCGTGAAAGACGCCCCTTCTTTATTAATTCCTCCTTTCTTTGTGTCGCGTACTAATTTTTTCTTCTTCGGACTAATTGTCCTTTGACTTTTTTCCTAATCCCTTAGCCGTCCGATGTCTGAACTTTGGGTGGTAGCAGGGCCTGTTTCCATTGGTTTTGGATCAAATTTGTGCGCTGGTAGATCTAATTAATCTTAGTTAGAAAGCATCGCTTAATTAATTAGTCCAACCGACCAAATCAAGAAATCACTGTCACAAGGTAGACTCTCTTCTCATGCTATCACGACTTCTTGCCTTTCTTCTTCTTCTTCTTTTTTTTTTAACATATTATTTTTTTTCCAGCCTTCTAATTTAACGTACATGGGACTCCATCAATCAATGTTGCAGTGGGAACATCGTAGCTTGGTTGAATCATGCTTCTGTTTTATCATCATTTGTTCACCTGATATATATAAAAGAATCTGTCTATCAAGTGCTTAATCGGCATTCGTTAGGAAAGAATTCGTGTGTTAGATTTTGGAAAAGTAAAATTAATTTTTTTAATTAAAAAAAATCATACAAACATGAGGTAAATAAATCGTAAAAAGAATTTTATGAAGATCAGGTATAGATCTCGACTTTTAGTTTTGGAAACAGATTAAAAGCTAATCCGGCCATCCAAGGAAAAACGAGGAGATTTTTTTATCCTGTCCAAAAAAAGGGGAGAATGCACATTTGCTTGAAAGAGTTCCCAAATAACAATTTTACGTCTTTGAGCGCGCATAGAACCTTTAATTCCAAGTGGTTTTGATTGTTCCCAAATGGGCTAATCGATGAACGTTTACAAGCGAGTTTGTACTTTGTATCAGATAGTAGTACGTGATTTCTCAGGAAAGGAACAAGAAAATGATACCGTTACGTGAGCTTAATTAGTGACAAATTTCTCTGGGACTGTTGTTCCTGACCAACGTTATTCGTCATCAACCATCTCTTCCTTGGAATTCTGATCTAACAAACCTAGCTTCTTACGAAGAAGAGGAATTAATTTGCTAAATTGTGGTGCTTTCTTGACTTCGTAAACCGCTACAATGACCGACGACAACGTGCCGGCTGGGGCTGTGTTTTCTCCATGATTTACAAGTTAAAGCCGTGATTGTTGGTGCATATTATAGAATGATAATTTGTTGGCAAAAGACTCTTCTATTACATATTTTCTATTACAATGCATGGATTGGTTGATATAAGTTTTGCAATATTCTGTGTATCTTTTCACTAGATTAATATACACCAATATTTGGTGTAAGTCTTGACTTACACTAATCAAATAAAAAAAAAATTAACCAACTATTACAAGAGGAGGAAAATTTGGAAATGCTTCACTAACGTGATTTGTAGTTCCTATGCAAGTAGGCATGTCAATGCCTCTAGATTTAACCCAGATCCAATATATATATTTAGGTAGGGTTTGGATTTAATTTCTCAAATTCAAACCCTACCTAGACCCAGACCCAGATTTAGACCCACGAGGGTTTGGGTAAGGTCTGATTTTCTAGAATCCATAACCAAATTCAGACTCATACTCGACCTTATCCAAACCCATATATATTTTATTAAATAATATATATACGTAAATTTATAAAATAATCTAATATTTTATGGTTATTGGATTGAATACAGTAAGATTTTATGGCATCAAAATTTGCATTTAGTATTGGTGGTTGGGTGATTGATAAGACTCGCGCCAAATTGCTTCTAAATATGGTTGAAATATTAGTGGCTACTAATGATTGGATAGAATCAAAGAAAAAATGAGTAAGTGTTTATAAATCTTCTTATTCTATTATTTATTTGTTATCGGTTCTTCGTCAAATGACTTTTATCTCATTCACTATTTTAGTATTGGATTACAAGACATCTACTAACATCGAGATTTAAATAAGAAAAAGAGGCACAAAATTACATTTTTTTTAATAAGACTAAATATTTATATACATTATGGTTGTTTTCTTTTTAAAAGTTAATCCTAGTTGTCATTATAATTGGTATAAACTTTTTCAAGAAAAGGAGAAAAGGTAAAGACAAACAAATGAAATATTGGATGTGGATGCCGTTAAATCTTTGAAAATATATAGAAGTAGTCAATAATAATTCTTTCTTTGAGTTCACACTATTGCATTCAACTTTTTAAGTGTTAGTTTTATTAATTGAAAACAAAAATTGGATGGTATTTATTTTATTTATGAACTCTATATATTTTAAATACATTTTTACTTTAGTATGTTTAGAAAATACCCATGGATGTTCATTGGATACCCAGATCCATAAGGATGAGTATAGACTTACTTTTTCAAACTCAAAAGGATCTGAATCTGGATCTAGATCTAACTGAATTAAATGAATCTAGATCTAAATTAAAGGGATTCAATCCAGATCCTATCCATTGGCATGCCTACGTGCAACTCCAAGTTGTGTTAGTTAATCCAATAGCAATGGAGAAGATTGGACCATATATGAATAGTAAGCTAGGCTAAGAAATACTATATAAGTAAATCGATCTTGTGGCGTGGATCTCTGTTCTTATTATTATCATTGTTTCTTTTTGATAAGTTTCTATTTTTGTAGGGGATAATATATATGCTTTCTATGGTTTCCCCCCTTCTTTTTATTTTTAACTCAAAAATCAAAA